AGAAAAAATGTGCAGAAAATTTGAGGTAGTCCGATCTGAGCATCAGAATGGGAATCTTGGCTCTACCCCTTAAGCTGAGTGATATTTAGCCTCTCAGAGCCTCAATGACATAACCTTAAAATGGGTATCGTGGTAATAATATTAGCAAACCCAGTTCTCTCACAGCATAGAGTGAGGCTCAAGTGTAATAAAGCATATGAAAGCATTTTGAGCTGCAGGAAGCACTACAGTGTTTTTACTTACAATGCCTATAAAGACAAAGCTTTGCACAGCCAGTATGGCTCAGTGGTTGAGTATAGACCCATGAAACAGTAGGTCACAGTTTGATTTCTGGTCAGGGCACATGCCCAGGTTACAGGCTTAATCCTTAGTAGGGGGTATGTAGGAGGCGGCTGATCAACGTTTCTCTCTCATCTATGTTTCTATCTCTCTATCCTTCTTCCTTCCTCTCTCTCTAAAATCAATAAAAACATATTTTAACAAAAGACACGGCATTGTGGAATTTGATACACTCAAATAGAAAGAGGGATATTTCTAATCTAGGGCCTAGAAGGAGAGCCAGTTCTCTATTCTTTTCAGGTTCAGAGTTGGGTGGCCAAGAGGGATTTTAGCTTAGAACATCAGTAGGCATTTTATTGACTCAGGAAGGGAATTCCAGTCAAGAGCACTTCACCTGATGTGGACTGCAGCTTCAAGAAGGAAAACAAACAAACAAACAAACAAACAACGGAGACGCTGTTCTCCTGAATACCATCTGGATGGGAAGATGGAAAGTCCTACACATCAGAGCTGCTTATCAGTCTTCACTTTCCAGGAAACTTGGCTCTGACTTGAAAAGCCCCTTACTGCATGGTGCTCAGGTTTCTTAAAAACCTGATGACAAAACCAGCCACCCACTCATGGAGGGAGAGGATCTTTCACCATCCTAGGTAGCCCAGCCTCCTAGGGGGCCTTGAGCTGGGGCTAAAATTAATTTCTCGGGCTCAGCTCACCTCTCACCTTCCTTTCCTTTTCCCACCATTGCATTGTGTCAAGAAAGTAATCAGAGGCTTTATAAAGAACATTTGTCAGTGTCTGGATGCTAGCTTGGGGCTGATTCTACTTTTATTTCCACCTCCTGTTCCTTAGCCTTTCTATTTCCAGGTTCAAAGAAAGAAGGTGTTTTTGAGTTCTACCTCTCAGAATTAATGGATATAAGATTCCAATGGCTACAGAACTTTTTTTTTTCATTTGGATCCTTCCCCCAGCTAGTTTATAAATATTTCACAGTGGGATGTTTCAGTAGAGCCACATAAAATCCCATCAATGCCCATGAGAAGATTCTGGAGTTGACCCATTCACCCTGGCACACAGGGACCTGTAGAGAACATGTCTTCAGAATAAGAAAGCTTAGGTGAATATTCCACAGAAACAATCCAATATTTCTTTAAACATTAGCAAGAGACAAATAATACCACTGAATTCCTCTTGGTGGTTTTTTTCTATGTATTACTATCGATAACATAGAATAGCTTAGAAAAAGGAGAATGCAATACTTTTCTAGAAACTGTCTCCAGGTGGCTTTGTTTTTTGATGCCCACATACAGGGTGTATTTTGCTCTTATGGTTTAATACAGATTAATTAAACATGACTGGATTGCTCTACTGATGCTTTCAATTTTGTTAAATGGGTCCTTTCAGTCTCACAGGAAAGCAGGCGGGAGAGAAAGTAAGGTACCCAAGCTCAAAGGTGAGCCACTCCTAGAAAGGCTTGGAAGAGTGGAGTGTGAAATTATAATGTTGCACCTTCCAATCCAGGCAACTGAGTAAAGTGAGAGCTCCTTCAAATACTCAGTATTCTTTCAATTGCCCCTGGAAGCACATTGCCATTGCTATCAGGTTAGCTTGGACTTGTTACAAATGAGTCTTGTAGCACTGCTAAAAGAACTTCTCTTTTTAAAGGAGGATTTCCAACTCTACATCTCAGAATAACCATGTATGTGTGGTTATTGATACTCACTTTTGTAATATGATGCTTTAAGACAGCGTTCTCAACCTGTGGGTCGCGACCCCTTTGGCGGTCGCACGACCCTTTCACAGGGGTCGCCTAAGACCATCCTGCATATCAGATCTTTACATTACGATTCATAACAGTAGCAACATTACAGTTATGAAGTAGCAACGAAAATAATTTTATGGTTGGGTCACAACATGATAAACTGTATTTAAAGGGCCAGCAGGTTGAGAACCACTGCTTTAAGAAAAGGAATAAACCTAAGATGACACAAAAAAACGTTGCTCACTTTTATTAACACAATTTTCAAAATATCCCCTAGTTTGCTGTGGGGCAATAATGGAAATCTGTCTAGTTGAGAACAGGAGAATCTGGTCTTTCTTCTGTCCCTCGTTCACTCTGTGACCTTAGGAGAGAGAGCGTCTCTCTGGGTCTCCTTTTAAATTTGAAAAGTAGAAAAAGGATACCTACCCTACCCAACTTAATAGTCAAAATAAAGTAATCTGTATAAGTGAATATATAATAGTAAAAAAAAATGCTACCCAAATGTTTGGGAATCCTCATAATTAACATTTATTGAGTATTGACCTAATTGACCCAGAATTATGTTAAGTATTTTACATGTGTTAAACTCATTTAATCTTCACAGTAATCCTGGAAAGTAAGTATTAGTACTACTAACATTTTAAATACTAGGAAACAACTATCCTGGAGGTTAAATAACTTCCCTAAGATTTAGAAGTGGATCACAAAATAGGAAAAATAAGCACTTAGGGAGCTAAGAAAACAGAGTAAAAAAATTAGAAGGTGGGGAGGGGGAGAAAGAATATATTTTGAAAGCATTATGGTGATCATCAGAAGAGAAAAATCAGACCTGTTAGATATTCTCACACTTAGGGTTTACTGTTGTGGTATTTTGAATTATATGTGGAGAGAGGCACCAAATATTTCAGTGTTTAGAGCATCTCAAGGTCTTAATCTAGCCTGTATTAGACTCCCAGGGAATAGCACCAGCATCCCAACTCCAGCCAGTTGCCTCCAAAGCCCATACTTATAGCTTCTATACTGCCTCATGTCCTACAATAATACTTATTATTAGTAAATAACAATTACCACCAGTTACTAGTAATGACAGTTTTCAGTGTGAAGCAATGTCATTAAATAAAGCTTTTTCTCTGTTTTGAACACATAGGAAGCAACCTGTAATTTAGAACTAAAAATACAAAGAGGTAGGCACACAGCAAGGGTCACTGGTCTCCTTATATGTTTGTGGCTTTAAAATTACCACCAAAGAGCCTTTTCATTGCTTGGCAGTAAACTCATAGATTCTATATTGGCTCAGGGCAAGTGGTTAATATCAATTTAGAAATCTTTGAAATTCCTAATAAAAACATAACAAACCCTAGAGCAGCACAGGCAGGGCCAATGATAACATGCATGGAGAGAGACCGATTTTTCCTATGAGAAAATAAACAGCTTTTAAGACCTCAAGCTATTTTGATTTCCCGGCAACCCCCACCCCACGGAGTTTAAGCAAGAAGCATTTAAAAATCAGGTCTATTGGTGTCTAGTGAATTTGGATGATGATAAAAATTCAGAGTGGTTGTTAACACCTCTGGCTCTCTTCCAAGGCTCAAAGATAATCTCATAAGGTCATTTTTTGTGACTTAATTTCAAAAGTGCTAAATGTATGATAAGGGACTCCCAGCAAAGGCTGAGCTGGATACTGAGAGGGTAGATAAGGGGCAGGTGGGGCTTTCTGCTTCAATAACTTGGGAGTCTTGTATGCTATTTGTAGATGCTTCCATAATTCTAAAATCAGACATAGGAATACTGGTTGTTAAGGGGGGGAAAACCCAGTAGCACAGTTACTTCTGATTAGCTTTAAAAAAATAATGCTGAGTTAGGCGGGAAAACATAATCACAGCCTTCAGGTCATTCAAAATTCTTGAGCCACAATTATTAATAGCTAAACAGCTCTTACATTTCCAAGAATGTGCTTCTGGCTTTCTCATCCCTATGCACATCTCACTATAAAGGAAGTGAGGGGATAAAAGTGAGGAAATTATGGGGAGCTCAGAGTGTAGGAGTTTGACAGCCAGACAAAGCATTGTGACCACATTAATGGAAAGTTCAGTATTCTATACTATTCTCTTGCATCCACCAGGTAATAATACTGTTGTGGAGCAAAGGCCATTAGCCAAAGTATTTTCCTTTCCATTCCTGAAACATTTATTATCAGGGTTTTTTTCCTGGGAGAAGTGAGAGATGGGAGGGAAAACTAAGGGATTATTTAAATGATCTCTTCTAAAGAAGGCAACCTTCCCTCCCACTGCCCTTGGTTCAGCCATCTGGCTCTGGAGTTTGTTGGCAAATGCTCCTTGACTATAAAATTTAAACAGATGATTAACCCCTCTCCCTTCCATGCCAGAATGCTTGCTATTAAAACCCCTACTTAGGACCAATCTCTGAATATTAAGGTAGGCTTAGTGTTAGTGAAAAAAAAATTGGCAAAGTCAACCAAATGAATGAAATTCCATCCTTAGTTTTTCTCTGTGACCCTGACTTATTATTCATCCATTCAAGTTTAGTAAACTTCCTTTCACAGTCTTACTGCAATCTCTGGCCATGTGTACCTAACTAAATAGTACCACAAAATCCCTGATCTCAAATTAACTATTTCGTGATGATCAACAGTAGCTCATGATAAAGATGGTACACCTTCCCTAAGGCATTGCTCATCATTTGCAGTGCCCTGGAAATCCTACAGTAATTGTCTTGGTATGAGCCAGTTGGGTTGACAGTGTTCAGTGCATAGTTGGTAAGTCTCCAGAAGCTCCCTACACTGGACCAAGTCCTAAAGAAATAATTTATCTTCTCATACAAAAGCTAGATATGTACACTTAATGCTCAGTGTTTTATGATTTAATGATGGTCATGAGAAAATTACCATTTAGAAGAATGGGAGAGCAAAAAAGAATACGGTCATTGAGAGTAAAACATGTACCTGTGGGGTAATGCTCATTCACCGGCCAGTTGTCCACCTGAAGCGTGGCATTGCCTCCATTCCTGGTGAAGCGCACCACGTGGTATTTACCATCATTTACTGGGGTTCTCTCTTCTTTGATGGAGATGTCAACTGTCCCGATATTGAAGACAACCCCAATTTTCCCCTGTTCCTATAAGAGAGAAACACAAAAGGCATAGTTATCACCAACCACAAGGTTTTCTCTTTTTAAAGTTGATCCGCCAACTAACAATAAATGTGCAGGTACTCAGAGGGAGGTGTCAGCATGAAGTTAACAATTTCTCCATGGGCTTTCATCCTAAACATAAAACCAACAGTATCAAGTTACCCAAGTTGCTCTCACAGACTGCACACCATAGGTTACATCATTTGATAGTCCTCAACAGATATCAAAGTTGGAACCACAGGACTACCTAATAACTGTTCAGTAGCACAGAAAAACTCACTTCTGTGTAGTGAGTTAGGACTGTTTTCTAGGAGATACAAATAAGACATTGGGCCCTACAGCACCTCACAATTCAGATTGAGGATTAAAGAGTGAAGCTAAGCCTTGTACATTTTGGGTAATCAAGGCCAAGGGGAGGAGTGCTGAATCATTAGAAGTCAATGAAAGAGGAGCTAGCATTATGGACCAACTCCTGATGATACCTTTCTGTAGGTTTAAAACAGAAAATGTGTCCTCAATAGAGGCCAGGGACACTGAGCTGGGGTTTTCAGAGTTAGATGGCTGTCACCCTTCCCACACTTGTAGCCCTACTCCTGAGGTTAATCCAAAGAGGGATGCAATATTCAGTACTAAAGCTTCATGGTACACAGCAGGAGATACCTCTGATACCCAAAAAGACTTTTGCAGGTGAAAACACAATGAATTCCAAAAGGAAAACACTGTGGCAATGGAGGGGATGATTATGGTGCTGGTGATAGTGGTAGTGAAGGTGGAGGTGGTTATATCATCCACCTCCTGGGAAGTGAAATATTGAAAAGTAACAGTGCAATGGAAACTTTTACTCTTCTCCTCTGATAATTGGTTACAACCAAGTGTTGGGATGAGTATTCCATCGAGACATAAAATAAAAGTAACCTTAGTGACTAGAATCAGTCTCTCTCCATGTCTTGGAAAGGCATTAAGACATGCAGGGTGCCAGATGGAATAGGCATAGGGATAGCCTGACTTATTGGCTAAGCAATAGGTTGGGCATTGATGGATAGCACAATTTTGTTGTAATTCTGATGTTCTACAAGACTGAGTCACAGTATTTATTCACATAGTCCCATATCCTCTGTTTCCTAATTCAAGAAGTAGAAGAAGAAGACAAGGAGGAGGAGGAAGAAGGGGAAGTGAGAGGGAGACAGTAGAGGAGGAAGGGACAAGTAGGAGAAGAAAGAGAAGGTTATGGGAAAAGAAGTCTAGAATTCATATGAACTAACATGTAAGAAAGATTTTGCTGAATCTCAGATTTAGTAATTTGGTTCATTCATTCATTCATTCATTCATTCATCTATTCAATCATTCTATACAAAAATACAATGTTTATTAAGCACTTACTGTGCTTGCTTAAAGTTGATAAATTATGACTTCTGGTGAGATTTTAGGCACTGATCTCCATAGAGTTAGTATGTTTTACTTATTTTTTTAAAAGACAGGCTTTACTCAACTTCTTAGTTTTCTGTTAGTAAATAAACACACCTTGTGCCCAACCAAAGGATGGAGAAACACCCAGGAGTCTTGATCTTAGAAAGTAGGAATCTAGGCTGATCCATCAAGGCTGCTTTCAGTAGGCAGAGATGCTGAGATACAGGGTGGACATCACTGCTTCCTTTGTATCCAACAGTACAGCACACAATGTAAAATGATGCCTGCAATTCCCAGGTTCTGTTCTCTGGGAAAAGTGATTCGGCTGCCTGCCAAAGTAGTGACTCCATTCACCCATGATTTCTTAGATCCCTATTTGCTGTGACATTATGTTCTCAGTGTTGCTCTGTTTTATTTCCACTTCTTCATCTTCAGCACTAAAGTGCCTAGCATGAAGATATGATGCATAGATAAATGTACCTAATGATAATTTTTTTGCATAGTTTATGCCCGTAATTAATAGTATGATTCATTTTATTATCAATCCTTAATTCTCTAGGAATTCAGAAATGACAATATCACTTCTTTTGCTTTTTCTTAGTTAAACAATTAATGTTCTTTGCTAAGGTTGTGTGAGTGTGTGTGTGTGTGTGTGTGTGTGTGTGTGTGTACCTAGTTACCCTCATCCCTAAATAAGCAAAGCTATAGGAACCTGAGTTAGAATCTGTTTAGCAGAATGAATGGACTGAGGGAGTTAAGAAACCATGACTGGGGACACCATTACTCCTCGGCCCAGCCCACGCAAGTGGGCTGTTCATTGCATCACTGATCTTCAATGAGAAGCCACTGTATAAATCCTGGATGTGTGGCAAGGACTGCTGGTGATTCAACTCACCTCTGAGTCACTAATTAATCCTGGATGGAGAACAGTTTGAGGGGGAGAGAGGAGAGCTCTAAACCAATCCTCTGCAGCTTTTCACCCACAGCAGTGGCCAAGTACGGTTCTGGCTCAGTGAGCTGGCTGATCAGCTAGATATAGTCTTGGGCAGATTCTCTGCAAGATCCATAATAGATTCAGAGAAAGAAAAGATTTAATCTCTGCCAGAGTAAATATTTGGTCCTTATCTGAAGCTCCACACATTTGCCGCCGCAATTGCTGTTTCAGAGAGATCTTCTTAATCCTGTTCACATGTGGCCAATGTCGATGAAGACCCCCAACCCGATGTTTCACTGTGTTTCCTGTAGTGGTAATCGTGGCTGTACTAGACCTCAGATGCGGTCTCTTCACTCGCATAAAATTTCATTACTTCAACCTCCTCGTCATTTGTCATGGGACCACAGTGGCATTATACTTTGAGGCTAACTGCTCTGTCTCAGTTCATTATAAACCTTGTGGCAAATACCCAGATAGTCTCCCAGGTTTGAATCCATCATGCTCAGCTGTCATGAAAATAAACTCTTATGGTCCATGTGTCCAGAAAAGAGAAGATGTAAGAGCGAAAAATCTTGGCTTCAGAGTCAACCCTGACTGACCTTGGGCAGGTTACTTAACTTTTCTGACCCATTTCTTGATACTATATTATGTGGACAGGATACCAGCTTTACATACTTTATAAGACCATTGTAAGACTGAAATGATATGATTAATATCTGAGCCCTTTGTAAATAATCACATAAGATACAAACAGGAGATAAATGAGATCAGGAGAAGAAACCATGCAATCCTTTGACCATATACAACACTGATTACTGCAGAAGTTAATTGGTTCAAAAGAATAAACATGGGTTTTAGTACAGCATGATTCCAACAATGCCTGTGGTTCTGAAAGCTCTATGACCTTAGGCAGGTTATTTAACGTCTTTCTGATTTTCCTACTATAAAAGGGATGTGTGTTGCACGGCCGCTATGGGTCAGTGGTTGAGCATCAACCTATGAACCAAAAGGTCATGGTTTGATTCCCAGTCAGGGTACATGCCCAGGATGTAGGCTCAATCCCTAGTAGGGGGCATACAGGAGGCAGCCGATCAATGATTCTCTCTCATCATTGATGTTTCGATCTCTTTCTCCCTCTCATTCTCTGAAAAAAAGGAGGGAAGGGCATGTAGATTAAGGAAAAGACTACCTCTAAAGCTTTGTGAGGATTTTAGAAGAACACACAAGTATGAAACCCTGGCAGGTGGCTGTGCATACTGTGGGACTTCAATGAATGTCAGTCATAATTCCCCTTTCTTTCCCTCATTAGTGAAGTTAACATAGTGGCATGAGCTTCAGAACTTTTGGCTTGGCCACACTGTCATCAAGAAATACAATGAAAATAAATGAAGATTTTAGCAAATGGAACATTACAAAACATTTGAAAGGCTGATTTCCTGTCACAATTTGGTAGTTGCTTTCTCTTCATGTTCCTTGGTGACATTTATAAACCTCCCCAAGATAACCAAAGTGTGGCTGCAAAAACAGCATTAATATAAATGATAATAACCCACGCCCATCACTATCAAAGTTGCTACTCAGTCAGTCACCTCAATCTATGCTTTTCTTCAATACTACAAACAAAGACAAGTGGTAAATTCAAAGACATTGTTAAAGAATCTTCAAGTGCATTCAGGGGAAAAAAAACCACACCAAAAAACAAACAAACAAACAAAACTGCAGGGCACAGTAAATAGCTGTCTTTAAATAGCCAGTAAGTCATTCTTCATCAATAATGACTGTTTATGAGCTCACCAGGTTCATCAAATGAGTCAGATTCCAGTTTTCTGATCTTCCATCAGCTACATTACAGTTCATGCTGTGGAGGTGACCCCAGAGATACTGCCAATACTAGGGTCACATTTCAGGAGCAAAAATACACCAGGGCAAAGAAAAATCCTCAGGAATAAAGATTTCCCTGAAGGCAATTTCTTCATTCACTCCCGAGTGCCCCTGGGGAAGGCAGAATGTACCTTCCACTATTCCAGAAAATTGCAGCTGACAGAAACAGAACTGGGCCTCTCACATGTATGCCAGGGAGGTGTGCAAAGGAAGCAGTTCTCAGTATCTTCCCTTCCAGGCTTCCCACAGAATCTGGAAGCTCAGTGTGAGTCAGTAATACAAGGAAAATGGCATATATGTGATTTCTCTTGGGTCCACACACTTCCAGGTCTGCCATACCCATTTCAGGGTCTGGGTCCTGGAAAATAAAGTTACTAGTGGCACTGTTTGCCATATTTTTCTAGTCCCCTCCCTTCCACCATTGCAGCCTTATAGTAAGAGAGAACTGCTGTGTCTCTTTGTAATGTGTAGGGCCAAGAGATCAGTGTTGATAGATCAATTGGGGTCAGTCCTGAGCCACACACTTAATTGCTGGTGTGATACCCACCAGAATTTTCCCCTTTTCTCTCAACCACTCCACTCAGCAAATTCCTGCTAGTGGCTTCTTTGTCAGCCTGGCTCACAGAGTGAGGATGGCAATGAGCCAACTAGCAATGGACATAGAACATGACAGAGAAACAAAGTTTGGTTGCTTGATTCCACCATTTTTTTTAGAATAAACGTTTATTGATTTTTAGAGAGAAAGGAAGGAAGAGGGAGAGAG